GCAAAAATGGTCCCAAYGCCTCAAGTTGGACGCTCAAACCGGGACACAGACTAGACGCGCGTCTGAAGAGGGAGGAACGTCTTCGTTTTTTTCCAGTCTGTCTTTGGCGGATGAAATAAAGAAAAAAATAAAAAAAATGGCTTTGCTTTATTTACTAAAGAGCAAGCTAACATTGCACATAGCAGATAATTAATTCACCAGATCATTTAGAGGCAGTTTGTTTTGATAGTTTCACCACTCCAGGAGCTGACGAACTATGTTTTTGTCCTGAGCCCAGTTTAACACAGCAGTCAGTTTAACAAGCTGCTGACCCATATCGGTGCTGATATCTCCTGCCAGAACACTAACTGCAGASAGTCCATTTCAGCTAAAGAGCTCCTGTCTGTTTCGGTTTAGTGGGCAACACTCAGGAAACTGTCACGTGGAAAAATTAGTCTGTCTGATTGGTTGCTGCGGCACGTCAAGCAGCAAAAGTTCAGATTTTTGAACTCAAGCGTTGGCTGCTTTTGCTGCTCCGCATGCACGGAAAGTATTCTACCACTACCTTCCTTGCAAGCCACGCTAAACGGACTTGACGTGCCACGAGACCCCTAAAGGCGCGTCCACCATAGACTTTCAGAATCAGAAACACTTTATTGCCATTGTCAGTAAACGAGTTACAGACTAGGAATTTGCTCTGGTGTAATAGTGCACATAAGCAAGGAGTAAAAAAGAACTAAAGCTAAGTGGTTGAAGTGAGGAAGGAAAACAAGTCAGAATACAAAACAAAGAATGAGAACAAAAATCCAAGCACGGCCGGCAGCAATGTGCCAGAGCCAATTAAACATTGTTCATTAGTCTAATGGCTGATAGGAAAAAACCGTTCTTGTGGTGGGAGGTTCTGGTCCAAATGGACCACATTCTTTCTGCCTGCACGACCTAGAGTTCTGGAGGAGAACAGCTCCTCTACAGGTCGGAGGTTGCAGTGCGCACAATGTGCTGCAGTCTCTGTCTGTCTGCCTGTGGCCCCAGTGTACCATACAGTTTTGCAGGAGGTGATGATGGACTCCATCATGGCCGTGTAGAACTGCACCATCATCTCTTCTGGCAGTTTGTGCTTCCTCAGCTGCCATAGGAAGAACATCCTTTGCTGGGCCTTTGTGATGAGGGAGCATGGTCGGCTCCCACCTAAGGTCCTGGGTGATGGTGGTGCCCAAGAAGCAGAAAGAGTCCACAGTCGGGATGGAGTATGCATGTAAACCGGCCGCTCCTGCAGCTCAAAACGCATTCGGTGTGAAAGTAGCACAACACTTCAACACATTTTCAAATAATGCCTTGGTGGAGGGGCACTATGTGGGGCAGGAGCTCGGCTGCAGACTGAGCCCCAGGGAGGAGCTTCACATGGCTCCCACAGAAGATTCAAGGATTTCTCAAATATATGTACATGAATGAGTCAAAGCAACACACTTGGTATGTTTTTGATGTGATAATGACATTATAATGTGACAAAGCACATTATAAATTTTGTATAGTAATCCCCCTTTAAAAATTTGTAGCAGTTCATGTAAACACTATTTTGTAAACCTTTACATCACTGTCAGTTTCACATTACATGTTTATTCTTGCAGCGATAGCCTTTGTCTTAACAAAACATGCCTTTGTTTTCACATGATAAGACAATAAATACACTGAACTTAAATGCAACAAGACATAGATGTCTTGAGACTAAAAAAACAGTGTAATCTGTGGAAAATTGCACCATAAGCCTTCAATGAGCTGCTTAAGGCCCTGTCACACTAGACAACTTATGCCAAATTATGAACAGTTTAAAGATGTCTGCATTGAAGATGGAATTGAAAAAATCAACAACAGGCTTCTTTGTGTACACAACGTAATTCAAACAAACTGATCAAATATATAACTTTTATTAACAAGTTGTCTAGTGTGACAAGGCCTTTAGTGCTTTAAGGGAACTGTGCCCACTCGGACTTTAAAGGCCCTGTCACACTTCATCTTCAGTGTAGATGTCTTTAAAGTGTAACTTACCCCAAAATCAACTTTTTTTTAACATATAAACTGTCTAAATTGTGTCTTAAGGGTAATACCTTGCTATTTTTGACCTAAATTTAACATTCTTGTCTAAAATAGTTTAAATCTTCAGTATTTGTTCAAAAAATGTCTTGGTGCTGCCCTGTATGGGTTTAAATCTTGACTATTATATTTGAAGTACGTTGTGACGTGCTGTACAGTGTGACGTGTCACAGTACTGTGC